TCAAAGAAATCCAATAAACAATGAAAATAAACAATGAGATTATTTTTCTCCAATTTGCAAATATTAAAAAGATTTTGTTTGTTTTAATATACTCTTATTGATTTCAGAAAGGAAGGGAGAGAGAGATAGAAACATCAATGATAAGAGAATCATTGATTGGCTGCCTCCTGCAAGCCCCACACTGGGGATTGAGCCTGCAACCTGGGCCCTTGACTGAACTTGAACCCGGGACCCTTTAGTCCACAGGCCGACACTCTATCCATTGAGCCAAACCGGCTAGGACTTAAAAATATTTTTTGAAAATAGCATGAGGAAATGAAGTACTCATATACTGATAATGGGAGTATAAATTTGTCTAAACTTTTTGAGGAGAAGTTAAGCGATGTTTAGCAAAAGCCTTAAGTGTGTGTTCTCTTTAACCTAATAGTTGCACTTTATATATTTATAGATGGTCACATAAGCCATCCATGTCATATGGAAGATGTTTATTCTTTTTAGACGTGCAGTATTTGAACCTCCTCCTTCTGTAGTATCTCCCACTGAGTGAGTTTTCTCAGGGTATTTATTTCAGTTGTCTGACTACTTCCTACTTCCCCCATAGGATATAAATTGTATAAAGATGGGGATTTTGTTCCCTGTTGTATCCCTAGAGTCTAGAATTGGGTATAGTAGATGCCCAGTTAAAAGAACCTAAGTGCCAGATATTCACTTTCCCAACCTCACTTGCAGCTAGGTTGTGGACAGGTGGCTTGGACTCTGTTAGATGAATCTGTGCTAGATTTGGACTTAGGAGTAAAGATATAAAAATCAGGACCTGAAGAGGATTCTTACCCAGCAGTAGAGTTTGTAGGATGGTCAAGGCCCCAGGCATAAAAGGTGGTGCTGCAAGCTTCAGTGTGATGGTCACCAGACCTGTGTTTTGGCATGGTTTCAGACCTTGCTCCTCCTTACATAGATCAGAGGCTGGTTTTCCAACCTCCCTGATTCTGTGAGCTCCTTAATATTCATTTCTTAAGATCTTATTTTCTTCTTAATTTTAAAATTTGAAATGTATGTACAAAAGAATGTGTAAAATGAGTACCATTTAAAGGTAAACATGTTCAGCTTCCAGATTAAGAAATGGACTAGAACCAGTACCTTAGAAGATTCCTGTTAATCCTTTACTTATTACAGTGCTCCTCCCACCCCAAGAGAGTAGCACTATCTTAGATTTATTGTTAATTAATCTTTTCTTTATAGTTTTAGCACATATGCATCTGTTTCTTTTAAAAATATATATTTTTATTGATTTCAGAGAGAAATGGAGAGGGAGAGAGAGACAGATACATCAATGATGAGAGAGAATCATTGATCGGCCGCCTCCCACACGCCCCCTAATGGGGATTGAGACTGTAACCCGGCATGTGCCCTGGACCGTATTCGAACCTGGGACCCTCCAGTTCACATTCTGACGCTATCCACTGAGCCAAACCGGCCAGGGCTGCATCTATTTCTAAACAATATTTTTTTTGGTTTTGGAATCATAACATGTGCTTTACTTCATGACAACTCTTTTTCTACGATATGTTTTTTTGGATTCACAAATTGCTTGTATTTAGCTGGTGTGTAATTGCATGGCTGAACCTGTCTCTATTTGGTGTCATTCCAGTTGGTCAGTGTCTGTGCTGGCCAGTTATTAAATATTTTGAAAATCATCACTGAATTCATTCATTTGATGTGTGTCCTGTAAAATACTCTATTATGTGAATTTACTGCAATTTATTTATTCATTCCACTATTGATGAATATTTGAATGTTTCTATTTTTTTAGTATTAAAAGGCAAGCTACAACAATCATTCTTTTGTTGTTTGTTTGTTTTTGTTAATCCTCACCCAAGGATATTTTTCCTTTTTTTTTTTTTTTTTTTTTTGAGAATGGAAGGGAGAGGGAGAGACAGAGAGAAACATCAATGTGAGAGAGACGCATCAATTGGTTGCCTCCTGCGCACACCCTGACCAGGGCCAGAGAACCTGCAACCAAGGTATGTGCTCTTGATTGGAATATAACCTGGGAGCCTTCAGTCTGCAGGCTGACGCTCTATACACTGAGCCAAATTGGCTAGGGCAATTTTTTTAATAAATAAATCCTCACCTCAGTATAAGTTTTTCATTGTTTGGGGTTGGAGGAGCAGGAAGAGAGAGAGAGAGAAAGAGAGAGAGGGAGGGAGGGAGGGAGGGAGGAAGGAAGGAAGGAAGGAAGGAAGGAAGGAAGGAAGGAAGGAAGGAAGGAAGGAGAAGGAGAAAGAAAGAAAGAAAGAAAGAAAGAAAGAAAGAAAGAAAGAAAGAAAGAAAGAAAGAAAGAAGAAAGAGAGAAAGAGAGAAAGAGAGAAAGAGAGAAAGAGAGAAAGAAAGATTGGTTGTCTCCTATATGTGCCTTGACTGGGAATTGAATCAGCAACCTGAGCATGTGCCCAGAGCAGGAATGGAACCCGACACCTTCTGGTGTACTGAACAACGCTCCAACCAACAGCCACAGCAGCCAGGGCTTATCGCTGGTAGTTTTAAATAATTTTTTTTCTTTGATGATCTGTAGTTTTACTCTGATGTGTCTAGTTATGGATTTGTAGGACTTCGTGTATTTCAAGGATTGATGACTTTCAACAATTTGCTAAACTCTCAGCCTTGTCTCTTCAAATATTGCCTCTTCCTCATTCTGTTACTTCCTAATGTAATTCTGATTAGACTTAATTTTTCTCCATATCTCTCTTTTTTTAAAAAATATATTTTATTGATTTTTTACAGAGAGGAAGGGAGAGAGATAGAGAGCTAGAAACATCGATGAGAGAGAAACATCGATCAGCTGCCTCCTGCACATCTCCTACTGGGGATATGCCCGCAACCGAGGTACATGCCCTTGACCGGAATCGAACCTGGGACCCTTCAGTCCGCAGGCCGACGCTCTATCCACTGAGCCAAACCGGTTTTGGCTTCTCCATGTCTCTTAACTTCTTTTCCATATACTCCATCTCTCTGGGCTATATTTCTAGATAAATCAGTTAAGTAAGTCTCTATTTTAGTGAAACCTTGACAAGAGCAATTTTAGTGGAGTGATGGGCTCCGAAGCCAGATTAATCTGAAGTGATGAGAAAATGCGAGGTGAAACTATGGAAACATCCACCATAGTTAACCGTGGAAGCTTTTCTTTGAAGGGTGCAGAGAAATAGAAGAAAGAGTTATGAGATTTGGTGTTTGTTTGTTTTTAATATATAGAAAATGATATCAAGGCATGTTTATAATGATCTAGTAGAGAAGGAAAACTTGATGATATAGAAAAGAACATAATTTTGTGTTTTTTTTGACACAGATATCCCCCATTGCCTCTTCTTTGCCCACCTCCACCCAGTCCCTGCACCCCCTCCCTCAGACCATTACCACACTGCTGTCGGTGTCCATGGTTTTTTTTTTTTAATAATTTTTATTTCTTAAAGTATTACAAAGAGTATTACATATGTCTCCCCCCACTTGACATTCCCCCGGCCCCTCCCCCCCCTCCCCCGGTGTCTTGTGTCCATTGGTTAATCTTATATGCATGCATATAAGTCCTTCGGTTGATCTCTTAATCCCCCCCCCCAACCCTCCCCAGGCTTCCCACTATAGTTTGACAGTCTCTTCAATGTTGCTCTGCCTCTGCATCTACCCCTGTTCATCAGTCTATACTGGTTCCCATTATCTGTCCAAACCTCACTGGAGCAGTCCCAACCTCACTGGGGCTGTCTCAGCCTCACCGGGGCCGTTTCAACCTCACCGGGGCCATTCCTAACTCACCGGGGCCGTTTCAACCTCACCAGGGCCATGCCGAACTCACCGGGGTCGATTCAACCTCACTGGGGCCGTCTCGACCTCACTGGGGCCGCTTCAACCTCACTGGGGCCGTCCCGACCTCACCGGGGCTGTTTCAACCTCACCGGGGCTGTCCCGACCTCACAAGGGCCGTCCCGACCTCACCGGGGCCGTTTGTGTCCATGGGTTTTGCTCTTTGGCTAATTCTTTCATCCATCCTCCCCATCCCCTCCCCTCTGACCTCTGTCAGTCTGTTCCATGTATCCATGCCTCTAGTTCTATTTTTTCAGTTTATTTTGTTCATTGGATTCCACATATAAGTGAGGTCATATGATATTTGTCTTTCTCTGTCTGGCTTATTTTGCTTAGCATAATAATCTCCAGGTCCATCCATGCTGTGGCAAAGGTAAGAGTTCATTCTTTTTTACAACCACATAGTATCCCATGGTGTAGATGTACCACAGCTTTCCCCCCAACTCCTCCACAGATGAGCACTTGGGCTGTTTCCAAATCGTGGCTATTGTAAATAATGCTGCTATGAACATAGGGGTGCATATATTCTTTCTGATTGGTATTTTGGGATTCTTAGGATATATTCCCAGAAGTATGATCCCCGGGTCAAAAGGAAGTTCCATTTTTAATATTTTGAGGAAACTCCACACTATTTTCCACAGTGGCTGCACCAGTCTGCATTCCCACCAACAGTGCACAAGGAATCCCTTTTCTCCACAAGAAGAGAGAATTTTGTAGCGAAATTTCTGAAAAAGTGAGAAGGAACTAGGTCCAAATTTTTCAATCCTGAACTTCATTTGTGCTTTTGTACCACCCCCTTTAAAAAAAAAAGGGACTTTTCTTTTTAATCAGGCTGAGGTGACTGTGCAATCAGTTTAATAGGTAGTATTCACCTTACCCATTCACTTAATCAACAAATATTCCATTTGCTTTTTATGTGTCAGGCACTGTGCTAGGCTCTAGACCAGCGGTTCTCAACCTGTGGGTTGCAACCCCTTTGGGGGATCGAATGACCCTTTCACAGGGGTCGCCTAAGACCATCAGAAAACATTATAATTACATATTGTTTTTGTGATTAATCACTGTGCTTTAATTATGTTCAATTTGTAACAATGAAAATACATCCTGCATATTAGATATTTACATTACGATTCATAACAGTAGCAAAATTATAGTTATGAAGTAGCAACAAAAATAATTTTATGGTTGGGGGTCACCACAACATGAGGAACTGTATTAAAGGGTCACGGCATTAGGAAGGTTGAGAACCACTGCTCTAGACACTAAATTATAACAACGTAAACATGGTCCATGCACTCATGAAACTTATAGGTTAATGGTGGTGGTGGGGGGTGGGTATGATCTAAATAAAGGACTTTGAAGGGCAAGTATAGGACTGTATGAGAGCATTTAATAGGTCACTTAATCCTTCAACCTTATTCTGGGATAATAGAGAAGGGACATTTAAGCTGCTTTCAAAGAATGAGTTAGTTAGCCAGAAAAATTCCTGGAAGCATTCCAAGAAGAGAGAAGAGCATAATTGAAGCCCTATTGCAGCAGGAATTTGCAGAGGTTCCGGAGTTGACAGAAGACTAGAGCAGAATGAATGAAAGACAAGATGAACTGGATGGACAGCAGGTACCAAATAGAACAGACTCAAGATTTTTAGTCTATCTTGAGAGCACTAGGGAAGTATTAAAGTGACTTAAACAGAGTCGTGACAGAATCCATTTTTGTAATATTTTGGTTATATAGGTATACACACAAAGATACTGGAGCCTGACACTATTAAACTTTAGAATCATACAACTAACTCCCCTTTTTCAAATTATTTGTTTACTTAGCCATTAAGTATGACTTCCTCATTCAGACATAAGTGGAAGTTGCCTTGGAATTAATAAAATGATTTTCTGCTTTGTGTGTGTGTGTGTGTGTGTATGTGTGTGTGTGTGTGTGTGTGTGTGTGTGTGTGTGTGTGTGTGAGAGAGAGAGAGCGAGACCGAGAGCGAGAGAGAGAGAGAGAGAGAGAGAGAGGAGATAGCTGGTAGGTAAGATACTATTTTTAAAATCTAACATAGCAATGAGAATTTACCTAAATCTACTTAGCATGCTAATAATTTATGCATCATGCAGTATTAGAAATTCTTAAACTGCTATCTTATATTTGGTTATTTTTGAATTATTCTAAGAAATGACAGATTTATGTAAGACTTTGTTTCAACCCCTAAGTTTTTTACTTTAATAGAAATGATTGTTACTCTATTCTTATTTCTCTTTTCATCACAAATGTCAGAATGCACTCTTCTGTTTATATTAACAGCTTCTTTAGAGATTATTCAGAGTTATCATTTGGACTAGTTAAATTTATATTGAGCCGTAGATTCTCTATTTAATAGACACCGAGCACTATGCCTCGCACATAGTAGGCACTCAAAAATAAGTTCAGTGAATCAAGGCATCTGATATAGTTACCTTTTTAAAATTTTATTTTTCAATTAGTTATATTCGGTATTATTTTGTATTAGTTTCAGGTGTACAGCATGGTGATGAGATAGTCATATACTTTAAAAGGGTCCCGCGTCCGTTATTTCCAGTTCCCACCAGGCACCATACACAGTTATTACAATATTCCTGACTGTATTCTCTGTGTTCTACTTTACATCCCCATGACTGTTTTGTAACTACCAATGTGTACTTCTTAATCCCTTCAATGTTTTCACCCAATCTCCCAACAATCCCCTCTGGAAACCATTAGTCTCTTCATTGTATCTATGAGTCTTTTTCAATTTTGTTTGTTCATTTATTTTGTTCTTTAGATTCTACATATAAGTGAATCATATGGTATTTGTCCTTCTCTGTCTGACTTATTTAACTTAGCACAGTACCCTCTAGGTTCATCCCTGCTGTCAAAAATGGTAAGATTTCCTTCTTTTTCTTTACAGTGCTCTTAATTGCACCTTATAAAAATGTCCTCCCTTAATCTTTCCCTTCACACACAACATATTGCTCTGTTTGATATTTATTTTCTTCCTGGAAGTTCTACTCTGAATATTATTATTTTGCTGTTTTCCCTTTCTTGAAATCCCTTTTTAAGGTTTAATTGTCCTTGGTCTTTTTCTTGAAATTCATGTACTTTGTATTTTAAACCTTTGTTTGCCAATTTTCTCTTAGAAAATGTATTTTCCTTTTCTCTTTTGATCTAACTCAATTTATATTAAAAATGTTTGAGTCTGTTTATGAGTTTGTGTTTCACAATATTTTAATTGCAGTTTTCCCATCCTGAGGAACTATTGAATTGTTACTATGTATTTAAAAAGCATAATTCATGCATTCTATGTTTTTAGTCTATTGAAGACAATGAAGTATATTTGCCTAATGATGAAATTTGGACCTATGATATTGATAGTGGGTTGTGGTAAGTAATTTTAAATTGCAGAATGTCCAGTCTTTTTAAAATTTAATTTATTGGGGTGTGACATTGGTTAATGAAATCAGATTTCACATGTACAACTCAATAAAACATTATCTGCATACGGTATCATGCACTCACCATATGTATTATGAATGTTTTCATAGACTTAGGGGAATTTAAGACCATACTTAGAACATACTGCACCACTTATTTCTCCCTTTTTTTTCTTTCAATGCTTTATTCTCTCTGGCTATTTCTTTCCTCTGCTCCCTTCCTTTCTCTACTATTTGTCCTTTCCACTCCTCGCAATTCTAAGACTGTCTCTGAAGACTTTGTTCTGCTAATTAATTCCCAATTCTGGTGACACATGTGAAGCTGAAAAAGATTTACAGTGGCTCTTCTTAGAGTCTTTACAGTATTGGCTACCATTCTATTTTAATTGTAATTGTCAGTGACAATTTTCATTTTAAAAAGACTCCTGGAGTTCAAAGGGAATTTTAATTTGCTTTTCTGGAAAGTTTTGAAATTTCATATTATTCTTGCTGCAGGACAATGCACCTCATGGAAGGAGAACTCCCTACCTCCATGTCAGGAAGTTGTGGTGCTTGCATTAATGGAAAGCTGTACGTTTTTGGAGGATATGATGACAAAGGATACAGCAATCGAGTAATATTTTCTTTCAATTCAGGCGTGCAGCAAAATGTGTAATATTTAGTGTACCATTTTACCTCATAAGTTTACAAATATTTTAAGTTTGTTTTTTTATTGATTTCAGAGAGAGGAAGGGAGAGGGAGACATAGAAACATCAGTGATGAGAGAGAATCATTGATTGGCTGCCTCATGTAATCCCCCTACTGGGGATCCAGCCCACAACTCAGGCAATGTGCCCTGACAGGGAATTTAACCGTGACTTCCTGGTTCATAGGTCAACACTCAACCATTGAGCCACACCAGCCAGGATTAAGTTTACATATATTTAAAAAAGATATATATAGAAAATATTGTATTTATGATTATAAGGTTTTAGAGTGAAAATGTAGTGGTTGTGCTTTTCTTCCATATCTTTCTGCTACAGAATTAACTATATACTTAATATCTATATGGCAAGAGAATGCTGGGAAAAGATCTAGTTCAGTATGTTTTATATATCATTTTTGCTTCTAAAACAGTCTCATTTTCATTAACTCCACAGGTAAAATTTTTATCTTTTAAAAAGAAAAAGTAATATTATTAATTTTAGATCATATAATCCTCAGATATGGATTCAGTTTTCAAATGCCCTGTCTATTAATGATATTCTCCTCTTTTAAAAGCTTTATTTTGTTAATTTGCGAACCAGAGATGGAACCTATGTTTGGGAAAAAATCACCAACTTTGAAGGAAAACCACCCACACCACGTGATAAACTTTCTTGCTGGGTATATAAAGACAGGTAATGCACAAATCACCTCATTAACTACATTTACGTAAGGATGATCGGATAACTTGTGGCCAAAATAGGGAAAACTTGGGAGTCTGAATTTTTTTCATCATATAATTACAAAGTTTTTTTTAATGTTAATGGTAACAGCCGTTTTAAACCCTGCAAGAGCTAAGTAATAAAAATAAACATGTGGGAGCAACAATTTGTTTTCTAAAAAGAAACATTTAATTAAAATTCTGAATAGTTCACGTGGTTCAAAACCATATTGAAAATATTACAGTGAAAGCTTTGACTCCCACTCCTGATCCCCCATGCACAAATAGCTACTTCTATTAATATCTTTTGTATTGTTATGACAGTGGTTCCCAAAATTGTCTGCCATTCTAATCACCTGGAGTCTTAAAAATTCCAAAGCCCAGGTGATACCCTAGACCAGCGGTTCTCAACCTGTGGGTCGCGTCCCCTTTGGGGGTCGAACGACCCTTTCACAGGGGTCACCTAAGACCATCGGAAAACACATATATAATTACATATTGTTTTTGTGATTAATCACTATGCTTTAATTATGTTCAATTTGTAACAAAATACATCCTGCATATCAGATATTTACATTACGATTCAGTAGCAAAATTATAGTTATGAAGTAGCAACAAAAATAATTTTATTGTTGGGGGTCACCACAACATGAGGAACTGTATTAAAGGGTCGTGTTTTTAGGAAGGTTGAGAAACACTGCCCTAGACAAATTAGATTGCAGTCCCTGGGAGTATGTTTTCGAACCTCCTCAGGTGATTGCAAGATGCAGACAAGTTTGGAAACCAGGAAACCACTGCCATCAGTGTTACTTTATGCAAATAGAAGCAAATATGTATGTATGTATGTATGTATTGGTCTTTTTTTCCCTTCTCCTTACATAAATATCTGTGTACACTGTTCTGTACCCTGCTACCTTTTTTAGTTAACAGTATAGACCTGATTGATGATCTTTCATCTTTCTGAAACCCTAGTTAGAAAGTTGGTTCTTGATGTTTTTTTTCTTTTTGCAGCTGCATAGATTCTCCTCTGTGAATATAAATACCATTGTTTATTTAACCTTTACCCTGTTGATTGTTTCAACTCCTTTCTACAAACTATGCTTTAATGAATCTGTATGTGTGTGTGTGTGTGTGTGTGTGTGTGTGTGTGTGTGTGTACATATCAGATAGATCTATTGAATAAAATTCCAGAATTAGATGGTTGGGTCAAAAGGTAATGTATTTGTAATTTTGTAGATGTTTAATTTGCTAAGGCTGCTGTAACAAAGTACCACAAACCCAGTGGCTTAAACAGAAATATACTGTCTCACAGTTCTGGAGGCTAGAAGTCTGAGATCTGCTGAGATGTCAGCACAGTGACATTGATTAAAAAGGTAGATTTCTATGATATAATACCTGTATGTCACACTGTGTACCCACCACCCAAGTCATATCTTCTTCCATCACCATATATTCGGCTTCCTTTACCTCCTACCTCCAACCCCTTCAATCATGTGGTTTTTATACTCCATTTTATGTGATGTATCACATTTATTGATTTGCGGATTTTGAACCAACCTTGCATCCCCGGCATAAAACCCACTTAATAGTGGTGTATGATCTGTTTAATATATTGCTGGATCTGGTTTGCTAATATTTTGTTGAAGATTTTAGCATTTATGTTCATCAGGGATGTTGGTCTATAATATCTTTTTCTTTATAGTGTCTTTATCTCACTTTAGAATTAGGATAATGCTGGCCTTGGAAAATGAGTGTGGGTGTCTTTCCTCCTCTTGAATTGTTGGAATAGTTTGAGAAGGATGGACACTAGTTCTTTGAATGTTTGGTAAAATCCACTTGTGAAGCCATCTGGTCCAGGACTTTTATTTGTTGGGAGCTTCTTAAAAATTATTATTTCACTAGTTGTACTCTGTCTATTCAGATTCTCTAATTCTTCCTGATTCAGTTTTGGAAGATTATATGTTTCTAGGAATTGATCCTTTCTCCCTGATTGTCCAATTTGTTGGCATATAGTTCTTCAGTTCTTCATAACATTTTCTTAATAATCCTTTGCATGTCTTTGATATCAGTTGTTGCTTCTTCTCTTTTATTTCTGATTTTATTTATTTAGGTCCTCTCTCCTTTTTTATTATTATTAATTAAATCTTTATTGTTCAGATTATTACATTTGTTCCTCTTTTTTCCCCCCATAACTCCCCTCCACCCAGTTGTCACCCCACCCTCCTCCCTCACTCCCCACCCACTGTCCTCATCCATAGGTGCACGATTTTTGTCCAGTCTCTTCCCGCATCCCCCTCACCCCTTCCCCCCACAAGAATAGCCAGTCCACTCCCTTTCTATGCCCCTGATTCTATTATAATCACCAGTTCATTCTGTTCATCAGATTATTCACTTGATTTTCAGATTCACTTGTTGATAGATGTGTATTTGTTGTTCATAATTTGTATCTTTACCTTTTTCTTCTTCTTCCTCTTCTTTTTTTTTTTTTTTTTTTTTTTTTTTTTTTTTTTGCTTAAAGTATTACAAAGGGTATTACATATGTGTCCATTTTATCCCCCCGCCCTAGACAGTCCCCTAGCCTCCCCTATCCCCCCATGTCTTATGTCCACTGGTTATACTTCTATGCATGCATACAAGTCCTTTAGTTGATCTCTTACCCCCCTACCTCCTGCCCCGCAACCCTCCCCGGCCTTCCTGCTGCAGTTTGACAATCTGTTTGAGGCAGCTCTGCCTCTGTATCTATTATTGTTCAAAAGTTTATAATGGTCTCTATTATCCATGAATGAGTGAGATCATGTGGTATTTTTCCTTCATTGACTGGCTTATTTCACTTAGCATAATGCTCTCCAGTTCCATCCATGACGTTGCAAATGGTAAGAGTTCCTTCCTTTTTAGAGCAGCATAGTATTCCATCGTGTAGATGTACCACAGTTTTCTAATCCATTCATCTACTGATGGGCACTTAGGCTGTTTCCAGATCTTAGCTATGGTGAATTGTGCTGCTATGAACATAGGGGTGCATATATCCTTTCTGATTGGTGTTTCTGGTTTCTTGGGATATATTCCTAGAAGTGGGATCACAGGGTCAAATGGGAGTTCCATTTTCAGTTTTTTAAGGAAACTCCATACTGTCTTCCATAGTGGCTGCACCAGTCTGCATTCCCACCAGCAGTGCACAAGTGTTCCTTTTTCTCCACATCCTCTCCAGCACTTGTCGTTTGTTGATTTGTTGATGATAGCCAGTCTGACAGGTGTGAGATGGTACCTCATTGTTGTTTTGATTTGCATCTCTCGGATGATTAGTGACTTTGAGCATGTTTTCATATGTCTCTTGGCTTTCTGAATGTCCTCTTTTGAAAGGTGTCTATTTAGGTCCTTTGCCCATTTTTTGATTGGATTGTTTATCTTCCTTTTGTTAAGTTGTATGAGTTCCCTATAAATTTTGGAGATTAGGCCCTTATCGGATATGACATTGGCAAATATGTTTTCCCACACAGTGGGTTTTCTCGTTGTTTTGTTGATGGTTTCTTTTGCTGTGCAGAAGCTTTTTATTTTGATGTAGTCCCATTTGTTCATTTTCTCTTTAGTTTCAAGTGCCCTAGGAGCTGTATCAGTGAAGAAATTGCTTCGGCATATGTCTGAGATTTTGTTGCCTTTGGATTCCTCTAGAATTTTTATGGTTTCCTGTCGTACATATAAGTCCTTTATCCATTTTGAGTTTATTTTTGTGTATGGTGTAAGTTGGTGGTCTAGTTTCATTTTCTTGCATATATCTGTCCAATTTTCCCAGCACCATTTATTGAAGAGACTATCTTGGCTCCATTGTATGTTCTTGCCTCCTTTGTCAAATATTAATTGAGCATATTGGTTCGGGCCGATTTCTGGGCTCTCTATTCTATTCCATTGATCTATATGCCTACTCTTGTGCCAGTACCAGGCAGTTTTGAGAACAGTGGCTTTGTAATACATCTTGATATCTGGTATTGAGATCCCACCTACTTTGGTCTTTTTCAGGATTGCTGCAGCTATTCGAGGTCTTTTTTTATTCCAGATGAATTTTTGGAGAGTTCGTTCTAGATCTCTGAAGTATGCCGTTGGTATTTTAATGGGAAGTGCGTTGAATTTATAGATTGCTTTGGGTAGTATGGACATTTTAATGATGTTGATTCTACCAATCCATGAACACGGTATGTTCTTCCATCTGTTTATGTCTTCCTCTCTATCTTTTTTCAACGTCCTGTAGTTTTCTGAGTAGAGGTCTTTTACCTCTTTAGTTAAGTTTATTCCTAGGTAGCTTAATTTTTTTGGTGCGATGGTAAACGGGATTGTTTTTATAATCTCTCTTTCTGAAAGTTCACTATTGGTGTATAGAAATGCCTCGGATTTCTTGGGGTTAATTTTGTATCCTGCTACATTGCCAAATTCATGTATTAAGTCCAGTAGCTTTTTGATGGAGTCTCTAGGGTTTTGTATGTATAATATCATGTCGTCTGCAAATAAGGACAGTTTTACTTCCTCTTTTCCAATTTGGATGCCTTTTATTTCTTCTTCTTGCCGAATTGCAATGGCTAACACTTCCAGTACTATGTTGAACAGGAGTGGTGAGAGGGGGCATCCCTGTCTTGTTCCTGTTCTTAGGGGAAATGGTGTTAGTTTTTGTCCATTGAGTATGATGTTGGCTGTGGGCCTGTCATATATGGCTTTTATTATGTTGAGGTATGATCCTTCTACTCCCACCTTGCTGAGAGCTTTTATCAAAAATGGGTGTTGAATTTTGTCAAATGCTTTTTCTGCATCAATTGATATGACCATGTGGTTTTTTTCTTTCAATTTGTTTATGTGATGTATCACGTTTATTGATTTGCGGATATTGTACCATCCTTGCATCCCTGGGATAAATCCTACTTGGTCATGGTGTATGATCTTTCTGATGTACTGCTGGATCCGATTTGCTAAGATTTTGTTGAGGATTTT